CTGTAATTAATAAAGATATTAATTAGAGGCACACTTCCATCTTTATGATTAATTAAAAAGCAATTAAAGAGCGGATATTACAGTCCAGAGTGATTGTATTTGAACGTTATAAACTTCAGCGACGGGGTTTTTATTGGAGTCCCTTTCACGCTGTTTTAATCCTCGTTGCTGGGATTGACTTTGATTTGAACGTTATTGTCGTTGTGTTCATTTATGTTGTTTTAATTGATGTTGATGTTGTATTAACTGATGGTAATGTCCTTTTAATTGATGTCTTTGTTGAGTGCTATTGAGACTTGGAGGGTATATAAGCCTCCGTCTGATAAGGTGCCAAGTACCAATGCGTAAGTTTCCCTCTGATTTGAATTTGAGTTAGTTGATTGAAGTTGAAACAACTCTTTACTCCATTGTTTTGTTGACCATCGCCTGGTGGAGTGGCTCTGAGGTGCGAACATCCGCTCTGATTCGATCAGCTGGAACGAGTAGAACAACAAGACATTCAGAGCATCCGCATCATTAACAACTCAACAACATCAACAACTCATCAACATCAACAACATTCGCAACACTACATCTCAACATGCCTTCCAACAACACAACAAACGATCGAGTCGCAGCTGTTGAAAGCTGCATCTGTCACCTGATGGACCAGCTCCTCAACATGAGAAGCAACGATCGTGTCGATGGTTCACTTGCAACGACAACAAACTCAACAACGACTTCCAACAGCATGAATGTTGAAGGTGGTGATGATCATGATATCAAGCACTCATTCAACAGAAGCAACGACGATGATGATGATGATGATGACGACAAACAAAAGAGTTATGATGATGATGATGTTGATGGTGATGATGACGATTCGGGAAAACACAATTCAGATGAGTTCGTTGAACTAACCGTCACCATCATTCCCAATGATGGTGATGATGATGGATGGTGAGGACGACAACGAGAGGAAGGTCCAGGCAGACAGCTGTGACAGCAACCACAATAGCGACGACACCATGTTTAAAAAGAATAGCAGCAAAAGCAGCAGCAACAGCAGCAACATTTTTGAAGAGAGCAAATTCTCCCACTCAACACCAAAACAAGAACTTCTGAAAGAAGAGGAAGAACAACAACAACAGAAGAACACGCAGTTGAATGACGACCTCAAAACTTTGGACAGCAGCTGCTCAGAGAGTGCAGGTTATAAAGACGTTGACGATGAACTTTTTAACGATATTGATTTTAACATTAACAGGACGAAGAGCTCAAGTGAAGAGAATGACGACGGTGATGAAAGTTACTGGCTCTCCCCCATCTACTTTGACTCTGACAGCAACAACATCCAGAACGAAAGCACTCTCACGAATGTCACGCCGATGGATGGGGACACTTTCAACGCCAGTCTGCTTACTTCGATCTGGGAGGCTGGGAGTGAGATGCAAACTGGGGAAGCACATCTTCCTGACGCCAGCATCCACGACAAGTTCTCAAGCGAGGAAGTTGACAGTGACGATGGTGACTATCTCTCGCCCATCACCTTCGATTTCGACAACAACAACTACATCAACAACAACTACAACATCAACAACTGCAACATCAACAACAACTACATCAACAACAACTGCTGCATCAACAACAACTGCTGCATCAAAAACTACAACATCAGCAAGAGAAACATCAACAACAACATCCTCAAAACTCACATGAGAAAAAAATTCACAATAAAAGTTAATTGCGCACTCATTAACAACAACAACAACAATATGAATTTTGACAATAACAACATCAACAACAACATAACTTCTAACAACAACAACAACATCGCAACAAGATTCACCCATCCAGACTCGTGTTGCTGTTTGGCCTGCAACAGTAGATTCAGACTCCAACATGAAAACTGCCAACGAGCCATGCGACTAAGCAACAACAACTTTAACATCATCAACAACAACAATAAGTATAGTAACATCAGTAACAACAACAGCAACAACATTAACAACAAAATGACAAACGAATTTCAACATTTCTTAAGATCGCCATCTATCGCCTCATCGTCAACCGCATCAACAACAAAATCAACAACAGCATTAAACAACACAACAACATCACACAGTACAACAACATTATCATCCAACAACGCATGCTACTGTGTTAAAATTAAACTGCCATTCAAGAAAGTAAAGAGTTCCTCGATGACGACTGTCCCGGGTTCGAATCCAACTCAGAGAAGAAAGAACAAATTGCGGAAATTTTTTCAAAGAATCAGAAATATTGTACAGAAAAAAGTGAAAAATCACGTCTCGTGAAATGTAAACTGACTTTTATAATTCATTAAATTTATTTCATTATTAAGCAGAATAATCTTTAATATTCCAAAATATTTTTCTGTATTTGTAATCTTGGTTCTTAGAAAGCCTTGAAAAACAAAAAGTTTTTAGTTTAGTAGTAAACATCATGCACGTTTTGTTTAAATTTTTGTTGACAAATTTCCAGACACAACTCAAGTAAGAGGTACTTGTAATCATTAGCTGGTGAAAAATGTAGTAGTAGGATGAGCTGTTTGCCGTCATAATTGCGGTTATTCAGTTGTAAACATCATAACATCTAACTGAACGACTTCATTTTTTAAATCCACCTTAAATATTTATTACATTTTTTACATTTTTAATACATTTCTTGCTGGTGAAATTACAAACAGAACCTTAAAGACAGGTTTGTAAAAATTTTCAAAATTTGTAAGAATTTAGAAGACGGTTAAAAAAATTATTTGTTCTTTAAACTCTTTCTCTGAAAACACACGCATTCAACTGTAGCTACATGCTTTATCGTTAGTGAAACAAACCAAAAATGAAAAAATTCCCACATAAACTTTGAACTGTTTGGAAGGCAAGGTTCAACGAATCTAACTAACACCGTAAACTAACACAAAAAATAGCATTTCCTTCTAATAAAATTATTTATGAATCTCAAAACTATATAAAATGAAATGTGTTTAGAATGAGATAGCACATCAAACTAAGAAACTTAAGATAAAGAATTGAATTTATTATTTAATTTGTACTATATTGTTTAATTATTTCATTAAAATTAATTATAAAAATGATTAAACTTGTTATAGGAAAATTATATTCACTCACTGTCTTTCATAGTGCTACAAGTTAACAGCTTCGATTGGTTAGGCCCAATAACTGACGTCATTGCATCAGCATTTGACCTCTCTCCATTGTTGGACGAGGTACGAACAAAGTCGATGACGTTTGAACTTGAAACAAACACACACATACAACCACACACACACACACACTCACTCAAAAACACAGCCACACACACAACTAACACTTACACAGTTAATTTTTTCTATTCTAGCACGTTAATTCAATTTTTACGGAAAAATAATTGCACATATTTTAATTAACATTTGTTTATTTATAATTAATTAAATTTTAGGCAGCAGGATATGCTGTTGACGTTCATGAATCAGTTCACTCATTACCATTCCCTATGGATGAAGTCAACAATTTGAAGTACCTCCGTAATCATCCGCAACAATGAAAAAAAAGACCATTTATATTTTACGTTGTTAGTTGAAGAATTATGAATTTTTTAATAAATTTAGAGAAAAACACAATTTGTAGTTGACGCTAAATGTTGAAGAATTATGAATCGTTTAATAAATTTAAAGAAATTGAAATGGAATCGAAACGTAAATCTGGAAATTTTATACGGTATAATTTTAATGTGGTGGCAAAATTTTATACAGGTATAAGAATCTTTTGAATCGTTGAGTTAAATCAATTTTAAAACAAAATCTTCATTAGTCACATTACAAAAAATAATTAAAAATCTAAGTACCCACAAATATATCTTTTGTGATTCGTTGTATACTTTAATAATAAATATTTAAATCGAAAAATGATTTGAGAAAAATTCACCAAATCCAGAGAGTCTACGTGCCGATCGTTGTGTTGCCTCTAATTTTCAGTTGCGCGTCACCTTACGACGCAGTTAACATGCCGGCCTTGATGTACAACGTGTAGTTCCAGTCCATATTTCTTAGATTCATGTGACAAACATTTTCACGGTTTTATGTTTTTGAAATTAACATTAAAAGCCAAATTAATATCAAACAAGATTAAAGCCTGTAATTATTTAAATAAACTTTCTTAATAAAGTAGCAGTACAACGGATCGACAGCAAAACTAGCCCCGGTGAGGAGTGTTCTTCCAGATGTTGTATCCCGTGCACTTGTCATCTTTGGAGCAAATGTGGGAGCACAGGATGAATGCTTGCTCCCAGAGATATGTTGAAAATGTTTTTGTTTTGTAAAGGAATTGCGGAAACAGCCTGCCTGGCCGCGATAATTACGGAACTTTTTGAAACAGGAAAAGGATTCTAAACTAACCTGCACAAACTTCAGCACATATTTCAGCAGCATTCTCACAAATGCAACTGGAGAAAATGTTACAAACTCATACTCTCCTATGTATTAAGAACACAATTAAGACTAAGCCAATAGTTACCAATAGCGTGATTATATTCACTTGAGTGAACTCTTTTTGCTTTCAAAATATTTTTCATTGACTACAACAGATAATGATTAAGAACATATTTACACGATTAATGATGTTTCATTGTTCTACAAGTTTGTAAAGGAACACTCGAGAAAATCTTGCTGGTGCAATAAAAATAATACTCACTGATCATCATCAAAACGAGATGATCAAATGTTTCGTTTTCACTGCTGTTTAAATTTACTAGAATTATCATTTTATATATAACACTTTGATGAAATATGCTGCCAACAATTTTAATATACAAAAAATAATAAGAACATAAAAGAAGAAAAATATTATTATTGAGAAGTAAATACTGTCTACATACGAACAAACAATGATGAATCTGTGACATGCTGAGCGAAACAATTGCAATAGGATCAACTATTACATTTATTAAATGCGCAAATTTTCATTAAGTTTCATTATATTTTATTCAGATGGAAATTTACGAAACTGAAATAAAAGAGAACGAGTCGGTGTGATTCATGATAATAAATCATGCATTTCTACGATTAAACGTTTTTTTTCTATCAACAACTTGAAATAAATTTCTACATACATATCATGTATGCAGAAATTAAGTGGTAGAATAAACGGAATTTATTTATTTATTAAAGTGAATATTTATAAAAGTGACAGCCCTTTTATAGGCTCATGTTGTTTCCCTGGAGGCTGACGGAAACCCCTGGCTTTGAAATGCTGGCTCTTTTCATCGCTTTTACTTTTCTATTCAGTTCATCCAGCCTGGTTAGTTTTCTTTTTCTTGACCCACCCTCCGCTGGCCCACCTTCAATTTTCCATTTTGGTCGAATGATATATTCCGTGAGGGATAGTTCCGGTACTCTAGCTCTATCAGCCGGATTCGTATCTTCCCGCAATAAACGTTGTTCGTCTTTCTTCTTCACGGTTAAGGCTCCGGTAAATCCGACGAGTTCACCGGAAGAATTTTTTTCTTCCTGCTCTTCAGTTTTTGAGGTGAGTTTTCGTTTTTTAGGACAGCGTTCTAAATCTCTCTGCTGTCGCTCTTCTCTTGTGAAATCTTTGAAAGAAGCATCTTGACAAAATAATCGTTTGGCCCACCTTATTATCAATTGCTGACATCTACCTTTGTTAATGGCGGTTTCCTTTGGGTGTTTGGAAAGATAGGCCACTGCTTTTCCGAGACCACTTGCCTTCAATGCCTCGCTACTTATTGGCGGATATTCAAGTAGCTGTTTCAGGAGTGCCTCCCTAATTTCCAGATGAGGCAAGCAAAGATTGGTCAAAGGTGCCAGCCAGATTGCTACAGAACTTAGAATTCCGGAATCTGATAGCGATTCTAAGATTTCCAGTTTACCGAGTTTCGCCTTGACGTATGGTAGTTGTCGCATAACTTGAATGGCCGGTTTGTTTTGGCTATTCAATTGCCTATCTTGCTTGGCAGCTGTATTCATCACCTTTATCATTTCTGCGATGGCATCGTCGTTGTGATTAATGAGGTCAACGTCATCTATTTTTCTTTTCCTCCTCCTTCTTTCTTCCTTCTTCTTCGCCATCATCAGATCAAAATCATAAACAGTAGGCTCATTATCGGGAGCAGCTATGTTTGATGGTGGAGATGATGACGGTTCATCAATTGTTGGACGATTTTTGTTCCTCTTAACTCTTCTCCTTCTCTTTGTTACCACATCATCAGCTTCGTGTGTTTCTTTTTTGTCAGATGAACCAAAGATATCTTTAATCAAGTCATCTGGTTTTTCTTCTTTTTTATTGTGAACGGAGTCAGCACTTTTAACTTGCAGCTCGTCGTCTTCATCAGAGGATATCTCTTCACCGAAGATATCTCTAATCAATTCTTCATTTGTTTTAACTATTTCTTTATCCTCTTTATTGATGTCGTAATTTTTATCATGTTTCCAACTTCCACTTGCATTATTTTTAATTTGTTCAGCCATGTCGATAATAAACTCGTTCTCTATCGTGATTTAGACTCGTACGTGTAGGGCACCTTACTGATAAGTTGTTCAAAGAAGAATGATGTGTTACTGAATATCTTCGGTTATTTATAGTAGCCAAACATAGACCAATATTTTTATTGGTCAACAGAGAATTGTAAACGGAGACCCAACAACAAAGGAAAACTTAGCTTAAGTGTTACAGTTGTAAAATGAATAAACTTTTCTCGAACGTGTCACCCCTCAATAATCAACCGATAATATTTTTATTATTAACAATCAACTAAACTTTAATTATAACTAACAATAACTTTAATTATAACTTCAATTATAACTAACAATAACTATAATTATAACTTTCAATGATCGATCTAATTACTATGGCATAAAAACCGATTAGATCACTTTGGATAACTTTCATCTAATTATCAATTAATTAATAAGGCGATTATACTTATTTCATTTTATTCATAAAACCTAATTTATTCTTTGCGTTAAAAATCATAAAACTTCATGATAGTTGTAAAAAAAATATTGAAGCAATAAAATCACTTTACAACTAATCATCAAAGAGATTCACTTTTATCTGATCATCAGCTAAATCTTTCTCTTGATATTTGCATGGTGAAGTTTATTCACTTAGTCGGGATGTGGACTCGAATTTGTCCGTTGCAAACCGTGTTACAATATTTTTCTTGGTGAACATGGAAGAACACAACAACCAACAATTGACAAGACTGGTCAACAAATAACAATTAATGAATTTTTAGAAATGTTTAATTGTTTTCAAAGATAAACAAGCACTCAATGGCAGATTGAAAATTAAGTGTTATAGACGGATCGAAAAATTTATAATTTCAGGTCGTCAATTGACTGTCAATAACATCTGTCACCAATGGTCTCGGTCAGAAAATTTGTGACATTTTGTGGCAAGATTTTGACGGGTTATGCAATTTTTATTGTTAGCTCTGGTATTTTTAAAATTAGTTCTGTGTTACGACGGTGAAAGATGATATCGTTTTTTAGTTGCAATATCCGAGGCATTTTTTTGTTTTCAAAAATTGAAATAACTCACACACACTAATTACTATTACGTAGAAACTAGTTAGATCTCTTTGGATCATATACATCTTATCATAAATTAATTAATAAGACGATTATAATTATTTTATTTATAATACTATATTTTTTTGCGTTAGATAAATATTTTTTCATGAATGTTGTAAAGTGAATATCGTAGCAATAAAATCACTTTACAACTGATTATCAACGGGATCAGGCAGGAACAAAGTCAATTATGTAAGTTAATGCACTTCACTGACATCAATCACTTTTCGTAAAAAAGTTGACAGCAAAGAATTCATCGGATCATGCGACCAATCAGTTAGGTAACAAAATAAGGAAGGAACAACAAGTCTATATAAAGAAGACGATGGGAGTCGGAGTTCATTTCACTTCATCCGCTCAAGCAACGAACATCGTCCTCTGTCTGCTCATCGGATACTTGCAATTTCTAAATTACCTATCAACGTTTATTATTTGAAAATTATTTTTATTCATTCACATTCATCCAAAATGAACAACAATCAAAATTTCTTAAATTCAAATTCTTCGAACTTCAGTGCCCACTCTTCGTCCATCCAGCAACCAACTAATTTGGCACCGAACAATCAACAAACTTATTTCTTAAACAATCAACAATACTCATATAATTGGTCATACAACCAACCTTCCACTTATCATTGTCCACCAGCTCAAACGTCTTCATATTATTGGACATCGAATCAACCGTCTGCCCAAAATTTCGGACCAATCCAACAACCACCATATTGTCAACAAGCAACAATTATTACCCAACCAAACCATCAACCAACAATGGCTTACTCCACACTAACCCCTTTAAATCCAAACCCTGATGTAAACAGCAATCAACTTGACTGCACATTAGTTCCAAGTACTTCAACCGCAACGTCAGCCAATCCAATCCAACCCCCAACGTATTATCAACAAGCATCAATTAATTTTCAACCAAGCCAGCAGCCAACAATGGCTTTCTCCACACATACAATTTCAAACCCAAACACTGATATCAACAGCAATCAACATGACCACCCATTAGTCTCACCCGGTACTTCAGCCTCACCTACCAGTACAACCGCAACTTCAACTCCAAATTCTAATGACAACAATATACAACTGAACCCTACATCCAAAAAGGGTAAGAAACGTGTGTATCTTACCAAAGAAAGAACAGATAAGTTAGAAGAGTATTATCAGAACCACATAGCATTTCCGTATCCTGACCAAGAAACAAGAGAATTCCTAGCCAATGAATGTGGGATCACTTATTCGCAAGTTTCGAAATGGTTCAGTAACAGGAGGAACAAGGACAAAAATACACGTACGCTAACAGAAATTGTCGGAAGGAAAAGAAAGTGAATTTAATTCCTGTGATGTAAATATCTGTTTATAGTTCAATTTAAACTTTTTTCATTTTTTGAACCTTTTATTTTTAAATATGAGTGAAATTTATTTATAATTCATTTTTATGTGATACCAATAAAAATACTATTCTGATTCTGATTCAAAGTTAACGCACTGAAAGACTTTTACGTGCTATCCATTCCTACATTTTCATCCAACGATAGTGTTGATAGTGTTACGATACGTAGCAGCTGTAGTAGTAGTAATTGTAGTAGTAGTAGTAGTATTTGTAATAGTTTTTAACGTTTATAATTTAGCATACCTTTTCATTATGTGATATTAATTTTGTTCCATTATATTCCATTAACATATTACATTATACTACGTTATCACCTTTGTTATGGTTCACAGATTAATCTTTTCTTTTTTGCTTTATTATAATTTTTTTTATTTTTAAACGACTATTTTTATTAATAAATTCTGTGATACAATAAATTTGAAGATGATTAGAGCAT